CTCTATATCGACAGTTCAATAGTCACAATCAACAATCAAACGAACCGCGTAAGTCAAGTAGTTTAGTCACACACAAAAAGTACAACAGTCTCAAGTAACAAGCAAGTCATGCATGAACATCAAATGCATAAAGTCACACTAATCAATCTCTTGTCGGGACCATTTTCCATTGGCTTTGTATCAAATTATTTCCCATTGAATTTATAAACACTTCCTGGAAATGACCTCTGCATCACAACACTCGCCGGCAAAGATCTCGACATCATAACACTCATCGACAAAGACCTCGACATCATAAAGCATCGCATGTCTCATCACGATATTCATAACCAATGCATTCAAGCAATATCACACCGCACAGAAGAGACAAAATTCCCTATTATTCAAGTCCATATTCATGCATTCAAGCATTTCATAAATCAATCAATAAGATTGACTCACTCCCCGTTTGAAGTTAAGCTCACTCGTGCCCTCGTCGTTAAACTTTTCACATAGATATGCCATTGTAAACTCTAGTTGGTTTGTTGAAATTAACCAACTCATTTTACCTTTCTTTAAATGACAAATGGAATGGCCACATCCCTTTTTAATTACACTACAACAAAAATAATTTTTAGCGACATTAAATATTGACACTAATAAAGAGTGCTAAAGTCTTTACCAGCATTAGTTAACTGCCATTAGAACCAATGTCGCTAAAGACTTTAAGGACATATACAAAGAGTGACAATTGCCGCTAAAAATATATATTTAGCGGCAATTAAGAATTAAATGCCGCTAATGGTTATTTTTATTATAGTGTTACCACATAGCAGTTACATGAATAAATAAATAAATTGATACACCTCTTTCAAATAATTTATTCGACCCACAAAATCAACCTTTAACCCGTTCGTTTGTCATATCCGACCCAAAAATCATCCCTTTTAACCCATTATCAAAGCCCTAATTTTGTGGCAAACTTCAAATTAGGGCTTTGATAATGGGTTAAAAAGGAAGGTTTTTGGATCGGATATGATATACAAACAGGTTAAAGGGGTCGATTTACGAGTCGGATAGGTCATTTAATAGGTATATTAATTAATTAATTAATTTATTTATTTTTATATAAATGCCACGGGGTAATTAAAAGGGAAGTGACAATTCTTCTGTCATTTAAAGAAGGAAAAATGAGTTGGTTTCCAACAAACCCACTAATATGTACAAGGGCATGCATATCTATAAAAAAAAAAGTTAGAACGACAAAAACGCGAATGAACCAAACTTCAAATAAAGTATATTTAGACATTTTTAAATAGTTTAGAGATATATTTGATCTTTCTTTTTATGAAATGAAAATGGAAACTACTCCCATGGATTTTATTTACTTTTTTGGGGAGATATTCTGCAATAGCATTATGATGATGTCTGATTCTCTTCTAAGGCTTGAGACAATGAATACAGTTGATATACTTGGAATAACTTAAAAAGAGAAAACGTCCAAATAAGAACTGACTGTAATAAAAAAAGCCAGTAACTCTTATGCCAAATCAACTACTCAATTTTCCCTTCCCCTTTTGTTTGCTTTTCCTTTTACTATATTTTATTGTTTATTTGATTCCCAATTGACATAAATTGGAAAAAAATGATCATGAATCCAAGAAAGATACTGCTACTATATGAGGAAATAAATCCATTAACTCTAATAATATAATTTTTTTAGAAAAATATAAAAAAAAGAATTGTCAGTATCACATGATTATATTATTCTTTATAACAACACCACATTGATCATTTCTTTCTCCAAAATGCCACATGTGTGACCAAAGAAAACAAGTTGCTACTACTTCTTTCCTTTGACAGTCAACAATTGGAGGGGCAACATAAATAGCTCATTAATTTCTATTTCTTCACAACTCATATATAATTTTCCTATGTATTTCTCTATTAAGAAACCTTGATGGCTAGTACCTACCTTACTTTTTCCCTCTAATTATCTATTTGGGTGGGGGAAATGAAATTGTAAGCCAAAACTATCGAAATTATTATTTGTTTATACTTTATTTATTTAAATTATACAATTCAATATTATTACTTTATCTGTCTCAATTTATATGACTTAATTCAAAAGAAAATGATACATTTTCATATTAAGTAACAACTTAATATTGAAATGTCTAGTTTATCTTTGATGAAATGATTTATAGTACACAAATTTCTGTCACTCGTTTTGAACCATAAGTTTTAGAAGTCTTCATTTCTTCCTTAAATTTTATGCTGGATCAAACTACCTCGCATAAAATGAGACGGAGGAAGTAATAATTTTAAGATGATTCATAATGATACAATTATAATTTATTTTAGACTATATATTCTTTTAAGCAAAATTATCCGAATACACAACTTACTTTTATTATATTCTCAAAATTTTTCTATTATTTGAAAAAATTACAAAAATCGCTACTCTCTCCTATTTTTAGATACATCACTTTATCCGGTGTATGGATCAAATACATCACTTTACATATGATATATTAAAACGTTGAGTGATATATCCGAAATCGAGATGTGATATATTGAGATGTTAAGTCATGTATCCAAAATCACAACGCAATGTGTCGGGACATTTTAAATTGTATCCGAATTTCACCAAAATTTAAGAATTTTTTCTAATTTGATACATAAGAAAAATATAATGTAATAAACTCTCAACACGATATTACTTAATCATTTCATTTTTAAATTTAATGTCCAATTAAATGTTTTCACATCGAGAAGACATTTGAATGTCTCGATGGAATAGTTCAATCGCATTTATGGCGCACGCAACTAAGAGGTAAATGAAGAAAGAAAATGTATGTATATTCGAACAGAATAATGAATAATTGTGTAGAGGTTATTATTTATATACCAAGCATATAAATTATTTCAATAATTATGTCACTAATTAGATAATTATTAAAAGTACATTTCTTATTAAAAAAAACACTAGTTGATAATCCAGTACCTATGGTAACTAAACTGCTATATATTGGTACTGTCTTCTGTTAAAATTCCCAAATAACATTTTCTCAACAAAAAAAAAAGAAGAAATTTTGCCCATTATTTTTTTTAATCTTATGTTAAATTTCACAAATAACTTTTTCTAAAAAAAAAAAAGAATTTACCCTCTTATGTAACACTTTTTGAAAATGAGATATAAGTTTATCTTTGAACTAAAATACAGCTTACTCTTATTGTAGTCATGAACATTTCAAATACAACACTGGAATTAGAAAGCTATTATAAAGGGTAAAAAAGTCTTTCCATTGAAACGGATCAAAAGAAAAAATAAGTCGAGCAAATTAAAACAAAAGAAAAAATGTCTAAATAGTAAGTAACCGAAGATATACAAATTGAAAGAGAATAAGTGGAATCACCATAGTATATAACTTAAAAATTTTGAAATGTAAACCTAATGAAGAAGAAATCAAATCTTTGAACTTGTAATAATTTGTTGTTGTTTTATAGCATTAGCTTAACAGTTCACATCACTCATTTAAAATAGTAGAAATAAAAGAGGAAGATCAGATAGGTGAGTAAACCAACATTGACAAGGCCTTTCATTTATGACACTTTTAATTCTTCCCTTCCTAACACTGTACAGTTAGATTTATTTTATTTCAAGAAGAAGTAGAAAGAGAGAGAGAGAGTTACACAAAAAGGGAATGAAAAGTCCTTTTAGCCCCTCTACAGAAAAATTGAAGTAAAGGCTAAAACTTTCTTTTATACAATCACAAAAAAAAAAAAAAAAA